GTCGCTTTTCATTGCTTGGCATTGCTTTACATTGCCTTGCATTCAAATACCTGGGTTTGCCTGGCTTTCCATCGCTTCGCATTGCTTTTCATTGCTTTGCATCGCTTCGCGTCGCTCTGTACTACAGATTGCACCATATGGATTGTACCGCATGGATTGCACCACCTAGACTGCACCACATAGATTGCACCACGTAGATTGCGCCGCGCATATTGCCAAGAAATTACTGTTTGGGGTCCACGCTGGCTAACAGATCCGACTTCTCTATGGCTCTATGTATATATATATATATGTATATGGATATGTCTGTACGTAACCCTCCCGCTCGGGCAGCAGCTGCCCCCAGCTGCTCTCCCGCTTCCTCGTGCTTCCTCTCCCCTTTCGTGCCCGCTGTGTTCCGCGCCGGGCAGCGGCGACCTCGCTGTGGAGAGGCGACCGAGCGAGGTGAGAGGGGCAGAGGGAGAGGGGGCGAGCGGGGGAGGGCGTGCAGCTTGAAGCCCTCCCGTCCAGATGTGATGGGCAGCCAGTTCACGATACATTGAAGTCAACCCGCGTGGTAAGGATGAGCGAGCTTCCCAAGGGTATCCTTGCATTTCGGTCCATCCTTGGCCACTCTCGTTGGCCGTGCCCCGCTCGAAGAGTGTCGACACGACCTTCCAAGGCCCTTGTATCCTTATCGTGCATCCTTATGATACGGGTCGACTATACCACGTGTGGCACAGCTAGTTTGCAGGAAGTGCACCACTGGCAGGTATCAGTTCAATGTTCGCCTCAAAAGTGTCCCCCCTAAAACAGTGCGAATGTGGTCGAACTACGATTCACAAAGGGTTCGCGCATATCTCGATGGCTGATCGTGTTTGGACATTACCAGGATTCGACGGGTTACCATCTGGACATCGAGCCATTCGCAATGCTTTGTAACCCCATTCACATACAATTTTCATGTGTGTTGACAGTCGACTCGTATGTCATTCAGGTATGTTTCGCGTTTCGTGTGCGTTCGATTCAACGTCGGGACACTTGTAACTCCATCGGGACACCACAGGGGCACCATCGGGAACACAATGTGAGACACCATGCGATTCGCAGTACGTTTATTTTCGTCAATTTGGTTCGTATGCGGTTCAATATCGGGACGCCATCGGGATGCCACCAGGCACCTCGGGAAATCGAGATGGCTTCATTTCAGACTCACGCAGTTCACGCTGCCATTGATTCGCGCTGCCTTCCACATGGGGGCACCATGTAGGGCACCATGGCGTACACGATGGAACGCTGCGCGGCCCACTTGTGTGTTCGCACCTCTTGGAATTCACGTCCTGCGCACGTTCGGACCACGCGCGATGGGCACGCCGTCGGGGCACTGCGTCCCCCGCTGGCCGGCGAACCCCGACGGGACACTGGTGGATCACCCCGCCCCGCCGCCCAGCCGGTTGACAGGGCCTCAGAGGAGGAAAAAGTACAGTACCGATACCGCTGCCATTCGCTCGTTTTCCCCTCTTCGGGCATCCTGGGAGGCTCTCGTCGCCACCGCCGGATTCGCTCCGAAATCCTTGACAGAACGCGTTCCAGGAGAGGTCCGAGGATCACCCTTATCGGAACCTTGTAGGTTTCCCAAGTGCGAGCAGCAGGACGGACGGGCCCAAGTAACCCTCAGGGCCATCGCTCTCGCACACAGCCTCGCGCCCTGGCAGTGACGAAAAGGAAAGAGGGATGGAAGGGCGGAGATGGCCGGGTTCGGCGGCAAATCATGGGAGCCTGGTATGCCCTCTTAATTCCGTCTCTAGCGTCGACTGGCGCCGATGAGCGTCTGGGAGTCCATGAGATAGCGTCAGGTTGGCGTCGATTTAGCGTCGACATGAGCGTCGATTGGGCGTCGATTTAGCGTCGACGAGCGTCGATTTAGCATCGCCTAGCGTCGATTGGGGTCGATCCGCGTCGATTCGCGAGAGCCGACCAGATGGCGTGGGAAGCTCCCAGGAGTTGCCCCCCGAGGGCGGGGAGACCGGCGAGGGGCGGGCAGGGCAGGCCCACCCCGCGGAGAGCGGGGGGTGCCCGCTTGCGCCGTGCCGCCGCCCCCCTTCTCCGGCCGCGCGCCCCGCAGGACCAGCGGCATCGAGAGCAGGCTCGCCGCTCTCCGCCGCCCCGCCCCCTCGTTTCGCTCCCCGGCCACTGCCCCCCCGCACACTCGGAGGAGAAAAGACGGCGTAAACATAAACTTCCGGCGCTCCGCGCGGATCTCTTGGATCCGCGCTGCCCCCCCCCCCCCCCCCCGCCCGGCGGCGCCTCCGGCGCCGCCCCTGGCGCGCTGCGCGCGCCAGGGAGAGGGGCCCAGCGCGGATCCAAGAAATCCGCGCGGAGCGCCAAGAGTTGATGTTCATGGCGTTTTTTCCTTCTTCTAGACATACAGTCAACCCGCACAGCAAGGATGAGCAATTTTCCAAGGTTGCCCTTTGCAGCCTCCCCCTTCGGCACATCCCCTGGGCCGCGTTCGCTGGCCGCGCCCCGCTCGCAACGTGTCGACATGGCTCTCCAAGGCCCTTGCATCCCCATCGTGGGTCCTTGCTCTACGGGTTGAGTGTAGCATGAGGGACACGGGTCCTGAGGGAAGCCTTCCCCCAGGACGAGATCTTCATCCTGAGCCGTTTTCTGACAGCCTCGGGGCCCGTGGAGGGCCCTGAGAGGCCGACACCGGGGAAAGACCTCAGGATTCGTTTCCCTCAGGACCCGCTTCCCCCATGGCGAGGCAGCGCAGGTAGATTAGATGCCAGCCAACTCTGGGAGACTTGGCGGCGCTCAGCCTGGGGTGCCGACGTGCTGGGGCTCTGCGCCAGGCCGGCGCGGCACGAGACTGCCGCGCGGCCTTGATCGGGGGCAGCCTGCGCGATGGATGCGCAGACTTTACGCCATGAAAATCTATCCACAGAGACCCGCCGACGACTTCTGCTTGTGCATTCAGGGAGGGCGTCGGTGCACAAGTTCGCTGGCTCTCGTGTATTCACCACCGCCCTCACCCGAGGCCCAGGAATATGTAAAAGCATAAAGTAGGAAGGCGGATGAAGTATATTGGGTAAAGACCCTCCCAGATAATGTCAAAACACAGCAAAAGCAGATCGATTCTTGAAGTAGGAAGGCGCTTGAAGTGGAGTGGGATGTGGGAATCCAAAAATACCTACTCTCAATGAACGGCGCGTAATCGAATGGGGCTGTCTGTGTGTGTATTGTGGATATATATATATATATATATATATATATATATTCCCTTTTCTAGAATTTACAATCCGGGGGGGTGTGCCCCCCCCCCCCGCGGGCCGTTCCTTCCTGAATCCCCGGCTTCTGGGGCTCCTGGACGCCCCTGCTGATGGTCCCATGAGACTTCCGGGCTTTTGGGAACCCTTGCCAAGTCGTGAAAGCGAGCCGGCGGTAGCCCCAAGAGGGTCCAACATAGCCTCCTGATGGCCCAAGAGACCTTCCACACGTCCCAAAGAGCTCCACGAGGAACCCCCAAGTGGGCCTCCAAATCCAAAATCTGCGCGTGTCTTATATGTTTTTGCATTATGTTGGCATTCTCGTTTTTTCGTGCTACCGACGCCCCAGGAAGGCCCAAAAGGCCCCCAACATCGCCCCAGGACAAGCCATGACGGCCTGAGAAGGCTTACGGGCGAAGATGCCCCCGCGATCCCCGAAGAAGGCCCCAAGACGGGCCAAAGAGAGGGCCATTCACTTCTCAAGGACCTCCAGACCGCCACCAGGCGCGAGCCCTCTGGCCCTAAAGGACCCACGAGATTGCCAGCAGGCGCCCAAACGCCCCAACCAGGGTTCACGAGGCCCCCAATAAGACCAACAATACACCAACGGGGGCTCCAAGTTATCTCCAAAACCAGCAACCATGTTTCCGCAACGACCTCGAGACGCCTCCCACATATCCAAACACATCGAAGAGGCCTGCTGTGGTCCGAACACCCTAGTGGATAAGCCTCAAGCTCTAGCAAATTGTCTCCAGGCAGTCTTCCAGCGTATTGAAGCACGCTGAAAGCGAGGAGGAAGAGGAGGAGGAGGAGGAGGAGGAGGAGAAGGAGGTGGAGGGGGAGGGGGAGTATGAGGAGGAGGAGGTGGAGGTGGAGGCAGGAGGAGGAGGAAGAGAGGAAGAGGAGGAGTGGAAGTGGAGGAGGAGGAAGAGGGGCAGGAGGAGGAGGAGGGGGGAGGAGGAGGAGGGGGAGGAGGAGGAGGAGGAGGAGGAGGAGGTGGCGGAGGAGGAGGAGGAGGAGGGGGGGGGCGGGGTGCTGGGCGAGGATGGCTCTGCCTCCGCGGCCAGTCCCGCGCTTTGGGCGTCTCTTGACTGGGGGGGGGGCTGATCAATGTCGACGGCGAGCGAGGGAGGGAACGGAGGAGGAGGAATTCTGAGGAGGCGGCGGGATTTCTCAGAAGCCCTCTCGCCCTATGAGAAGTTGTCTGCGTCTTCGGGGAAGACTCAGGAAAATGTTCAGAAGGCGTGGGGACATTCGAACCCTCTGAGAAAGCCTTCTCCTTCTCATTTCCCCCGGGCGCGCCGCCGAAAATGGAGGGGAAGAGAGGTGCATTTCTCGGGCTTTACGAGTCCCTTTGTGGGCCCTAAAGGGCCCCCTCATGGGCCCTACAGGGCCATGGGCCCTACAGGGCCCCTTTTTCTGCAGCCCTCGCTGCCCCCCACCTTCATGCATCGCCCCCCCCCCACCAAGCGACGACTAAGCGCCGCCGCGCTCGCGGGGTGGGGACGCTTTGCATAGACGGACGAGGACGAGGAACAGGAGCGTGCAAACCTGACCTCCCTCGGGTGCGCGCCAGCGGCGACCCAGACCCCGCGTGATGTACGTGCGCGTTTCCAGCGCGTGGTAGCTTGCATGATATCCCAACGTGGGTCGTGAATGCCTCCGTGGCCATCTTGGCTCAAGATCTAAGGCCCAAGGTCATTTTCTCAAGATTGACTTCGATTGCTGCCACGCCCGCAAAGTCGCGGCATCATGGCAGGAGACGAGACGCAGCCTCTGAATGGTACGTCCGACGCTCCCCGCCCCATGGGCATGCTCGTTGCCGCCGCGGCCGCGGCGGGCCTCGTCTTCGGCGGCGCTGGCTTTGGAGCGGGCCTGATGATGGGCCGGCCGCACGCGGCGCGCCTGACGATGAGCAACGGCGTGCTCACGGAAGTCGCCGCCGACGGGCGGACGGCGTGCAAGATCCCAGAGGGCTGGTGCAACGGCACCGACATGCGCAAGGACGCGCTGTCGTACCGCGACTGCGACGGCGACGGCGTTCTGGACCCCTACTGCGAGGGGGGCCAGCTCCTTCGCTTCGGCTACATCAGCTCCGCGAACGATTGCAAGGACAACTGGCCTACAGGCCTGTGTAAAGTCGCGCGTCACGCCGGCGAGGGGGCCGTCTCGAACGAGCACCACGCAGCCTCGAACGAGATAACCATCGTGCACTTCAACGACGTCTACAACATTGCTGGCACGATGGAGGATGGCGTGCGCTTCGGCGGCATGTCTCGCGCGGTGCACATGGTCAAGAAACTGCGCAAGCGCAACCCCGACCGCACGTTTGTGGTGTTCGCCGGCGATTGCCTGTCGCCGTCCGTTTTGAGCGACATGTTCAAGGGCGAGCAGATGATCGACGTGCTGAACGACATGAAGCTGGACGCGGCCTCGCTGGGCAACCACGAGTTCGACTTTGGTGTGGAATTGCTGGACACCCGCCTTCAGGAGTCCACCTTCCCCTGGCTCAACACCAACCTCATGGACGAGACTGGCCAGCTTCTCAAGCACACTACGGAGTACCTCATCAAATCAGTCGAGTGGGCGCCTCGGTGGGAGCCCGACCAGAAGCAGGAAATCAAGGTGTGCTTCTTCGGCGTCGCGTACGACGTGAGGGAGACAATGTTCAAAGACGTGGACAGGTTGACGTTCGAGAACGTACTCAACGCCTCCAGGAGGTCCGTGGACTACCTCAAGAATAAGGAGGGCTGCAAGGTGATCTTGCCCTTGACCCACCAATTCTCGGAGCAGGACTGCGAGCTGGCGAAGGAGCTCGGGGATGACATCGACCTGATCCTCGGAGGTCACGACCACGCCACCGAGTTCACCTCAGTGTGCGGCAAGGCCCCGTACGTGAAGGCCGCCAGCGACCTGAAGACGCAGTGGGTGATGACGCTTTGGCTCGACGACGACGGCAAGGTGGAGTCTGTCGACGGCCAAGAGTTCTCGCTGACGGACGCGGACCCCCACGACGAGGAGATCCACGAGAAGATCGTGATGTGGGAGGAGAAGGCCGAGAAGGAGCTGGCCAAATTGGTGGGCTGCCTGGGCGCCGATCTGGACGCGGTCGCATTCAACGTCCGCCGCGGGGAGACGACCATGGGGAACTTCGGCGCGGACGCCGTGAGGGCGATGCACAAGACGGACGTTGCGCTGATCAACGGCGGGACCCTGCGCGGCAACAAGGTGTACTCTGCGGGCAAAGCCTCCCGCAAGGATCTGCTCGAGATACACCCGTTCGGAAACCAGGTGGCCAAGATCTACGCCACCGGCAAGGAGCTCTTCGACTACATTAACATGAACCTGGACGGCTGGGACACGGCCTCGGGGGACTTCGTGCAGGTCTCCGGGCTCAGGTACGAGTTCGACCACACCAAGCCCGCGGGCGAGCGCCTCCAGAAGCTCATGACCGAGGACAAGAAGGAGGTGGACCCGGAGCAGAAGTTCACCGTCGCCATCACAGATTACATGCTGTCCAACTCGCCTCTGCGCCACAACGAATTGTACCAGATGACGACCCTGAACGACGCGGTTCCTCTCTTCCAGGCCTTCGTGGAGGCCGTGTCGAACGCCGGAGATGCTTGCTACACCGCGGAGCTTGACGGCCGCATTAAGGACGTTGCAGCCTAGAGAGGCGCTGACGAGCGCCAGGGATGCCTGCTAAACCGCGGAGTTTGCGCCTTCTGAGTGGCATGCGGTTGTGGCTCAATATTGTTCAGTCTAGTCTCGCTTTCCTTCTTCGGCCACCTCCCTCCCCTCCCCTCCCCTCCCTCTCTCCCCGAGGTCAAACCTCACAAGGGAAGCGGGGGGGGGACGCGATCACCGGATCACCGGATCACCGGATCACCGGATCACCGGACCTCCGGATCACCGCGGATCACCGCGGATCACCGGATCACCGGATCACCGGATCGCCGGATCACCGGATCGCCGGATCACCGGATCACCAGATCACCGGACCCTTGGATCACCGGATCACCGGATGGCCGGATCACCGGATCGCCGGATCACCGGACCTCCGGATCACCGGATCACCGGACCTCCGGATCACCGGGGATCACCGGATCACCGGATCACCGGATCACCGGATCGCCGGATCGCCGGATCACCGGATCGGCGGATCACTGGATCACCGGATCATCGGATCGCCGGATCACCGGATCGCTGTCACCGGATCACCGGATCTCCGGATCACCGGATCACCGGATCACTGGATCACCGGATCACCGGATCGCCGGATCGCCGGATCACCGGATCACCGGATCACCGGATCACCGGATCGCCGGATCGCCGGATCGCCGGATCACCGGATCACCGGATCACCGGATCACCGGATCGCCGGATCGCCAGATCGCCGGATCACCGGATCGCCGGATCATTGGATCACCGGATCACCAGATCACCGGATCACCGGATCACCGGATCACCGCATCGCCGGATCGCCGGATCACCGGATCACCGGATCACCGGATCACTGGATCGCCGGATCGCCGGATCACCGGGTCGGCGGATCACCGGATCACCGGATCACCGGATCGCCGGATCACCGGATCACCGGATCACCGGATCACCGGATCTCCGGATCACCGGATCACCGGATCACCGGATCACCGGATCACCGGATCACCGGATCACCGGATCACCGGATCACCGGATCACCGGATCACCGGATCACCGGATCACCGGATCACCGGATCACCGGATCACCGGATCGCCGGATCGCCGGGCGACCGGCGGGCGGGCGCCGAGTCGGTCGGCGGGACGGGCGGGTCGGGTCGGGCGGGTCGGCCGGCGATTGCCAATCCAGGGAGGCCCCGCCTGGGCGAGGACAGTATCGGTCAACCATGTTGTTTGTTCGGTTTCGTGCCCCTCCCGCTGCCCACAGAGGCCCCCGACGCAGCGCGCAGAGGCCCCAGACGCAGCCTCACGGGTCCGCGCCACGCTACTCACACGTTTCGTGGCCCCCCATGGGGAGGCTCCGCCGCCCATGTCGGCATACCCCTCACACGTTTCGTGGGCCCCTGGGGAGCTCTACTTCAGATGCAGTGGCGCAGTTTGCCGGCATGGCCCTGGCAAGTTTCGTGGACCAATGGGGAGCTCCACCGAAGATCCAGTGGCGCAGTTTGCTTGCGTGCCCGCCGCTCATTTCGGCATACCTCTCACACGTTTCCGGGCCCAGGCCTGCGGTCACGGCCGCCGCCGCCGCCGTCGTTGTCGTCGCCGTCCTCGTCGCCGCCGCCGCCGTCCCCGCCGTCGCCACCGCCACCGCCGCCGCCGCCGTGATCGTCGTCGTCGTCGCCGTCGTTGCCGCCGTCGTGGCTGTCGTCGTCGTCGTCGTCCCCGACGTGCAAGGTTGAATGCGCCCATGGGGCCCATTCAGGCCCCGGGGTCCACAGACACGAGCCCGCGGAGCAATCGATATCGGAGACGGGTCGAGAGCCTCGCGGGGAGCCGCCGGGAGCGTTGGTCGCGTCCGGGGCGGGGCGGCCCGCGCGGCCCCGGACGCAAGCGCCAAGGTCGGTGCGCCACAGCTCGGAAAACTGGTGCGCCGAACCCATGCGGGAGCCCTTCCCCGCGGGGCCGCCACATCATGTCAGTAATCCGAGCGGGTCGTTCCCAACCTTGTAACTGTCCTTACTTTTTTGGGCTTCTGAGCCTTGAATAGGGGGAGTATCAGGCGCGAGCCCCGCCCCAGATGTCAGGTCCAGCGCGGGCCTCCGAGGTTGAAAGCCTCGTTGTGTCCTGAGTGGCTCCCCCGGCCGCGTGCGGCGGTCAAGGGGGAGTTACCGGGTCGTGCTGGCGCAGAGTTTGCGTCACCACGGGAAGTGGCCACCGGTACGTTTCCGATCCTCCCCTCCTGCTTCCAACCTTGTCGTCCTCGGCGGGAGAGGGAACTTGACAGGGTTCACTCTCCCGCGTGCGTGTGGGCTGGGGAGGGAACTTGAAAAGGTTCCCTCTCTAGCTGCGGGAGAGGGAACTTGAAAAGGTTCACTCTCCCGCTTGCGGTCGGCCTGAAGGGGGAACTTGAAAAGGTTCACCCTTCAGTCGCGGGAAGGAGAACTTGCAAAGGTTCACTTTCCCGCTTGCGGTCAAACTGGAGAGGGAGCTTGAAAAGGCTCACTCTCCAGGCGTGGGAAAGGGAACTTGAAAAGGTTCACTTTCCCTCTCTTTTGTTGGGTCTGGAGAGGGAGCTTGAAAAGGCTCACTCTCCAGGCGGGGGAAAGGGAACTTGAAAAGGTTCACTCCCCCCTCTTTTCTTGGGCCTGGAGAGGGAACTTGAAAAGGTTCACTCTCCAGGCGGGGGAAAGGGAACTTGAAAAGGTTCACTTTCCCCTCGTTTCTTGGTTTGGAGAGGGAGCTTGAAAAGGCTCACTCTCCAGGCGGGGGAAAGGGAACTTGAAAAGGATCACTTTCCCCTTCCTCTCTTGGGTCTTGAGAGGGAACTTGAAAAGGTTCACTCTCCAGCCGCGGGAAAGGGAACTTGCAAAGGTTCACTTCCCCCCCGGAGAAGGAACTTGACAAAGTTCACTCTCCAGCCGCGGGAAATGGAACTTGCAAAGGTTCACTTTCTCGCCTGCGTTCGAACTGGAGAGGGAACTTGAAAAGGTTCACTCTCCAGGCAGGGGAAGGGGACTAGAAAAAGTTCACTTCCTCTCTCTTTTCTTGGGTCTGGAGAGGGAACTTATAAAGGTTCACTTTCTAGGTGTCCCGGAGGCTCCCGATTGAGATTCCATCGCAATCCACTTAGAGACGGGGCTCCCGCTCGAGACCCTGCACGGTGAGTACGTGAGTGTGCGAGTGCGTGAGTGAGCGAGTGAGTGAGTGAGTGAGTGAGTGAGTGAGTGAGTCAGTGAGTGATGATGGTGATGGTGATGGTGATGATTATGATGATGATGGTGATGATGATGATGGTGATGATGATGATGATGCTGATGATGATGATGATGATGATGATGATGATGATGATGATGATGATGATGATGATGATGATGATGATGTTGACGATTATGCTGACGATGGTGCTTATGCTGATGAGAGAGAGAGAGAGAGAGAGAGGGGAAGGGAGGAGAAGGACTGCACGGGGGGGGGCCTCAGAAAGCAAGATGGAGGTCCCGGAGGTCCGCGGGGGGTTCCGGCTGCAGCTGCGAGGCTGTATGAGATGGCTTCCATTGAGAAAAGGAGGCATGATGGTAGGACCTTCTGTTGGTTAAGTGTGTTTTCTATTGTTTTTCGTACGTTTTTGGCGGATTCGGGAGTACTCCGGAGGTCACCTGAAATCTCCAGGTTGCCCGGGGGGCTCACGGATCTCCCGGTGCTGCGAGGAAGTGTTGTTAGCTTGTGTTTTTTTTTTGTGTGTTTTCCGGGGGTCACGGCCAGGGGGTCTCCGGATTGCCCTCCGGAGGGCCCCAGGGGGGCCAAGACGTCCAAAGCGCAAAAAGCTTTCTCAAATCGTCCTGCATCCTCTCTCCGCTGTCGGCGGGGTCTCCGAGAGCTCTTGGGACGCCCGGGAGGATTCGAGACGTCGACTTCCTTGGCGTCTCCTCCCAGACTCCGGAGGTCACCGGAAGTCTCCAGATTGCTCCGGGGATCTCGCGGATCTCCCGGTGGCGCGAGGAACTGTTGTTAGTTTGAGTGTTTCTTGTATGTTTCCTTTTTAATACTTTCCAGAAGTCTCTGGAAATCGCCGAGACTCCGGAGGACCTCGGAGGCCCCAGAGGGGCCAAGACGTTCCAAAAGCAAAAGGCCGTTCTCAAATCGTGTTCCCTCCCCCCTCCGCTTTCGGCGGGGTCCCCGAGAGTTCTGGGAGGCCGAAGGAGGGCTTGAGACGTCGACATCCTTGGCTTCTCTTCCTTCTTTCCCCGCCGGAGTCCTCGGAGGTCGCCAGGGGCCTCAGGCGTTGCGCGGCCCAACACGTCCAAAAACTTGAAGTTCGCTCCCTCCTCTCTCGGCGGAGTGTCCGGAGGGCCCAGAGGCCGCAGGAGGGGCACATGCAGTGAAAGACTTGGAGCCTTCTCCCTCCTGCCTCGGTGGAGTTTCCGGAGGCTATTAGAAGGCCCACGCCGTCCAAGAAAGGAATTATTCACGCTTCGCGTAACCCCGCCGGCCAATTCAGAAGCCCTGCCCATGAGAGCTGGCGGGAAATGGCAATACTAGACACATATAGTGAATCAGAGTGAGCAAGGAGAGGGAGGTGATGAGGATGTTGAGCAATGCCGGGTGCCATTTTGGAGCATCTTCGCCCTCCTCCTACTCCTCCTCCTCCTCCCTTTCCTCTTCCTCCTTCTTCTCCTCGTCCGCCTCCGCCTCCTCCTCATTCCTCCAACCCCTCGCGAAACCTTCCAAAACAATCCTGGGAGGGGAGGGGGGGGGTACCCTTCCCCGAAGGAAAGAGGGGTTTCTTTGGAAGAGGAAAGGAAGATCTCGTTAAACCGCCTGTCGCCCCAAAGGGCTGGCGGGATTCTCTTCCCTCCTTCCTCTGGAAGGTTTCCGTAAACTCCCGGAGAGCCTGCGGCTTCTTTTTCCTGCGTATCTTGCTTCCGCTTCCCCTTGCTTCGTCTCCCTCGGAACCATCGCCACGCAGGCTCGAGCACTCTCCTTGCTGTGGCACTCCTCGGCTTCTCTAGCACCGC